ATATATAGACATATTTTTGTTGATTTCAGAAAGGAAGGGAGAGAGAGAGAAACTTCAATGATGAGAGAGAATCATTGACCAGCTGCCTCCTGCACACCCCACACTGGGGATGGAGCCTGCAACCTGGGCCTGTGCCCTGACCGGGAATGGAACCGTGACCTCCTGGTTCCTAGGTCGATGCTCAACCACTGAGCCACACCAGCTGGGCTCAGGTGACTTTTCTGCGGAGGAAATTCTCTAGAGCAGCGGTTCTCAACCTGTGGGCCGCGACCCCTTTGGCGGCCGAACGACCCTTTCACAGGGGTCGCCTCAGACCATCCTGCATATCAGATATTTACGTGACGATTCATCACAGTAGCAACGTTACCGTTATGAAGTAGCAACGAAAATAATTGTATGGTTGGGTCACCACATGAGGAACTGTATTTAAAGGGCCAGAAGGTTGAGAACTGCTGATCTAGAGCTTGGAAAATCTTTACACAGAGCAGACCTGCTCTCCCTGTGATGGGCCCGCATTCAGAGCAGGGAGGGAGTGGTCTGGAGGGGTGATTCTCAAAGTGGGGTTCACCTGGGGACCTGCTGAACTACAAATTCTCAGGCCTCTGACCCCTGGCCCCTGACCCCTCAGCGTGGAGCCAAGGAAAATGTGTGCCAACAAGGCCCTGGGGCGACTGTGATGCCGCTCCAGCGTGGAAACAGTGACCCGGCAGGCAGTGCCCTCACGCGTGTAACATGTCACTCCCAGCTGGACAGTCCACGGAAGTGACACGAGGGCCGCGGTCCTGGGAGGAGGGGAAGATCCAGCACAAGAGCCGCGCCGCCTCCCGGACCAGCGCGGCGTCCCGGTTCCACGCGGTCTCTGCTGACGGGCTCGCTTGCAGGACAGCACTCGTCCCTCTCACCAGCAGCTCTCTGAAAAGAGCTTGCAGAAATGACCGCACTAGCGACCAAACACGGGAACACATGCGGGAGCCGGCACCCACACGGACACGACACGGCTAACAAGTTCCAGGGGAACCGGGACACGGTGGCGTTACCCCGCCCGTGCGGCCGGAATAAGTGCATACTGAGTCTTCATTCTAGCTGATAAGGAAAAAGCCTTTTAAAACGTGAAGACGTGGCCCCAGCCGGTGTGGCTCAGTGGTTGAGCGCTGACCTAGGAACCCAGAGGTCAGGGTTCGATTCCCAGTCAGGGCACATGCCCAGGCTGCGGGCTCGATCCCCAGTGTGGGGCCTGCAGGAGGCAGCCGATCCATGCTTCTCTCTCATCATGGATGTTTCTCTCTCTTCTTCTCTGAAACCAGTAAGAATATATTTAATAAAATAAAGTGTGACAACCCGGGCTCGCTCATTTTCTGATGAGCCAGCCCTGCCCTCTCCCTGGGGACCCTGCGCCGGGGCCGCCGCGGGGATGAGGCTGCCGGAGACGCGTCCCCGGGGCAAGGAACGGACGCTCTTCCCCGACGGCGACGGCAACGCATTCTGGGTTTCTTTCCCAGAAATTAGTCCATAATAAGTAGCTTTCATTTAGGGAGAAACAAAACAAAACAAACAAACATGTTCATAGCAAATGACTCCATCGAATCCATATGCCGTTCATCAGCTTCACAAGGGAGGCGGTCTCCGTGAGCCAGTTCCCTGCTCATTCTGTGCCAAACACACAGACTTCAGCCCAGCGCTCCCGGCAAACACACAGACTTCAGCCCAGAGCTCCCGGCAAACACACAGACTTCAGCCCACAGCTCCCGGCAAACACACAGACTTCGGCCCAGAGCTCCCGGCAAACACACAGACTTCAGCCCAGCGCTCCCGGCAAACACACAGACTTCAGCCCAGCGCTCCCGGCAAACACACAGACTTCAGCCCAGTGCTCCCGGCAAACACACAGACTTCAGCCCAGAGCTCCCGGCAAACACACAGACTTCAGCCCAGCGCTCCCGGCAAACAACACGGATTTCAGCCCAGCGCTCCCGGCAAACACACAGACTTCAGCCCAGAGCTCCCGGCAAACACACAGACTTCGGCCCAGAGCTCCCGGCAAACACACAGACTTCAGCCCAGAGCTCCCGGCAAACAGCACGGATTTCAGCCCAGAGCTCCAGGCAAACACACAGACTTCAGCCCAGCGCTCCCGGCAAACACACAGACTTCAGCCCAGAGCTCCAGGCAAACACACAGACTTCGGCCCAGAGCTCCCGGCAAACACACAGACTTCAGCCCAGAGCTCCCGGCAAACACACAGACTTCGGCCCAGAGCTCCCGGCAAACACACAGACTTCAGCCCAGAGCTCCCGGCAAACACACAGACTTCGGCCCAGAGCTCCCGGCAAACACACAGACTTCGGCCCAGAGCTCCCAGCAAACACACAGACTTCAGCCCAGAGCTCCAGGCAAACACACAGACTTCAGCCCAGCGCTCCCGGCAAACACACAGACTTCAGCCCAGAGCTCCAGGCAAACACACAGACTTCGGCCCAGAGCTCCCGGCAAACACACAGACTTCGGCCCAGAGCTCCCGGCAAACACACAGACTTCAGCCCACAGCTCCCGGCAAACACACAGACTTCAGCCCAGCGCTCCCGGCAAACACACAGACTTCAACCCAGAGCTCCCGGCAAACACACAGACTTCAGCCCAGAGCTCCAGGCAAACACACAGACTTCAGCCCAGAGCTCCCGGCAAACACACAGACTTCAGCCCAGAGCTCCCGGCAAACACACAGACTTCAGCCCAGAGCTCCCGGCAAACACACAGACTTCAGCCCAGAGCTCCCGGCAAACAGCACGGATTTCAGCCCAGAGCTCCCGGCAAACACACAGACTTCAGCCCAGAGCTCCCGGCAAACACACAGACTTCAGCCCAGCGCTCCCGGCAAACACACAGACTTCAGCCCAGAGCTCCCGGCAAACACACAGACTTCGGCCCAGCGCTCCCGGCAAACACACAGACTTCGGCCCAGAGCTCCCGGCAAACACACAGACTTCGGCCCAGAGCTCCCGGCAAACACACAGACTTCAGCCCAGCGCTCCCGGCAAACACACAGACTTCAGCCCACAGCTCCAGGCAAACACACAGACTTCAGCCCAGAGCTCCCGGCAAACAGCACGGATTTCAGCCCAGCGCTCCCGGCAAACACACAGACTTCAGCCCAGAGCTCCAGGCAAACACGCAGACTTCAGCCCAGAGCTCCCTGCAAACACACAGACTTCAGCCCAGAGCTCCCGGCAAACACACAGACTTCAGCCCAGAGCTCCCGGCAAACACACAGACTTCAGCCCAGCGCTCCCGGCAAACACACAGACTTCCGCCCAGAGCTCCCGGCAAACAGCACGGATTTCAGCCCAAGAGCTCCCGGCAAACAGCACGGATTTCAGCCCAGCGCTCCCGGCAAACACACAGACTTCAGCCCAGAGCTCCCGGCAAACACACAGACTTCAGCCCACAGCTCCCGGCAAACACACAGACTTCAGCCCAGCGCTCCCGGCAAACACACAGACTTCAGCCCAGAGCTCCCGGCAAACACACAGACTTCAGCCCAGCGCTCCCGGCAAACACACAGACTTCAGCCCACAGCTCCCGGCAAACACACAGACTTCAGCCCACAGCTCCCGGCAAACACACAGACTTCAGCCCAGCGCTCCCGGCAAACACACAGACTTCAGCCCAGAGCTCCCGGGACCGCGAATGGGAGCAGGAGCACTGAGCAGAGAACCTGGGGTTCTGGATGGAAAACACGCAGGATCCTCACCCTGCAGAGGGCGTCCGGTTCCCCTCCAGGCCCTGGGGTGCAGCTCGATCCCCAGTGGGGGGCGTGCAGGAGGCAGCCGACCCATGATCCTCTCTCATCACTGACGTTTCTCTCTCCCTCTCCCTTCTGCTCTGACGTCAATAACAATATTATTTTTTTAAAATCTGAGGACGACACCGTCTCTGGAAAGAACGTTTTGGAGAGTGACAAGGTCTTGCTTCTCTGTCCCACATAATGTGCTTCCGGCACGTGGTCCTGTTGGTGGTGGCATCGCCCCCGAAGCGGGGGTGCAGGTGTGAGAAGACCGCACGCCGTCTCCACGCTGCCGGGGCGCTGCCTGAGGATGCCCATGGAGCAGGCCCTGCTGCCGGCACGGGCGGCTCTGTCCGCCGGGAGAACTCAGCTCCTGCGCCCGCCGGAAGCACGCCCCTCCCTGGCCACCCTGGGGTGTGGTGGCCGCCACGGCCCACCCAAGGGGGACGCGTTGGAAAACAAAAACTTTCACTTTAAAAATGTGTGTGTGTTTTTTTTATGGATTTCAGAGAGGAAGGGAGAGGGAGAGAGAGAGAAACACCAGTGATGAGAGAATAGAATCATGGATTGTCTGCCTCCTGCACGTCCCTCAGTGGGGATCGAGCCCCACAACCCGGGCCTGTGGCCTGACTGGGAACGGACCCGTGACCTCCCGGTGCAAAGGTGGACGCTCAACCACTGAGCCACACCGGCCGGGCAACTCTCACATTGTTTACAGCGTCACATTCCAAGTTACTGTCCAACAGTGTCCTGTCCCCAGAGAAGGGGGAGTTTGATATTCCGAGCCAGGTCTCCCTAATGCTTAACTGGCGGGGGGTGGGGTACAGAAAGATTGGGGACCAAGGTGCTGCCGTCCGCAGGTAAGGACAGCCCCGCGCACAGGTGTCACGGGGCTCAGAAGGTAAACATAGAAAAGGGGGCTCAGCAAACTCAAGGACCCCCAGCAAAGGTGACATCACACAGAGCTGCTCAACAGGCACACAGGTCCGTGTGGCCGTGACTCTGAGGCATCGGGCGCACCCAGTGACAGTGTGTGGCATCCCTGTCACCAAGGCTGTTCCTCTCTCTCTCTCCCTCCCTTCCTCTCTGAAATCAATAAACGTATATTTAAAAAAATAAAAATGAAAACGCATACAAAAAGTTCAGACGCCCCTGGAAGACACCGGACACTTTAAAAAACCTTGACCACCTGTACAACAAAGACAGCACGCGCCCCTACCTTCTCCGATGCCTTGTCTGGCGCGGGCGGCCCCGCCCCGGGCAGGGACGGAGGCGGCGGGGCCCGGCGCTTCTTCATGTCGGACTTGACGGACACCCCCGAGATGCTGCTCAGCGAGAGCGCGGGGCCCAGCGTGATGGAGCGGGAGTTCACGGACGGGGAGTTTGGCGTCGTCAGAGAGCCCTGTCGGGGAGACAGACGGACGCCCCATCAGTTCTGTGTGCCTTCTCCCCACCAGAGCTCAGATCTGAGCGCCAGTGCCCACGCGCGTCGCCTCCATGACCTGCTCAGGTTATCTGCTCTAAGCCCAGCCACGCGACGGCGTGGCACCCGGATGCTCAAAGCAAACACGCCGCGGAGACGGCCACCGCGGACGCACACGACGTGTGCTCAGAGCCCAACCGGACCCCCACAGATTCTACCGTGTAAGTCTACACTGAACCCTGCCTTTCCCTTTCTGTTCCTGATGTTCTTGTTTTTTCTTTTCTTTTTTTAAATATATATTTTATTGATTTTTTACAGAGAGGAAGGGAGAAGGATAGAGAGTTAGAAACATCGATGAGAGAGAAACATCGATCAGCTGCCTCCTGCACACTCTCTACTGGAGATGTGCCCGCAACCAAGGTACATGCCCTTGACGGGAATCGAACCCGGGACCCTTCAGTCCGCAGGCCGACGCTCTACCCACTGAGCCACACCGGTCAGGGCCTTGTTTTCTTTTTTTAACCTCCTAGGGATGTCCTCCCAGTGGTTATTGTCCAAATCCTCTCCGGGGCCGCTCAGCACCGACTGCGGCCGTCCCTCCTCCACGGGGCCTCCGTGCTGCCTCCAAAGAACTCACGGCGGGAGCGTCACCGTGTGAGCCTTCGCTAAAGGCCGCCGCTGACGGTGCCTCCTGCGTGTAACTACAGGCCCCCCGGCCTGTCCTCGGGCAGCAAACGGCCCCGCCTCGCTGCGACCAGGGGGTGAAAGGGAATCCCGGGTCCCTGTCACCCCAGAAGGAGGGTCACATGTTGAGAAACTGTAAGTCATCTGGGGTCTATTTCTGGGGTGCCTCCAGCAGAGGGGACATCCCAGCACACAGGGTGTACTTACTGGGGATGGAGCCTGCAACCTGGGCCTGTGCCCTGCCCGGGAGTCGAACTCTGTGACCTCCTGGTTCCTAGGTGGATGCTCAGCCACCGAGCCACGGGCCGGGCTCCACGATTTGATTTTGATTCCCTAATCTCGCTGTGGTGTCTTTTATAAGGGCACCCTGCCCTTCAATGAAAACGGGCTTTGGGGATGGGGGTCCTCCTAGAATCCCCGAGGCCAGAGAAGAGGAGCGGGTAGTGGGCCGAGGCATGCACCTCTCCTAGGCGCTGGCTGGGAGCTCGTCGCTCTGCAGACACACACGGACCGGCTGCCCCCAAACCGGGGAAGACACGCGGCCTTTCCGGAAATCAAGAGGCCACGCCCGTGCGGAGCGCATCGCAGGTGACATGGTGCGCGGGGGAAGCTGCTCCGAGCCCAGCGCCGGCGAGAAACCACGCTGGCCCGTGCCTGGATGGAGGCATCCGCCCGCCGAACTCCCGCGGGCTGCTAATCCACACGTCTGAACGGAAGGCACTGCGAGCGGTGCCAGCCCCACGTTTGAAAAGTCTCGTCCAGACGGACTGATAATAAAGGTTGGTTCCGCATCTCAGGCAGGCGGCTGGGCCCCGGGACGTGCGTTTCTGTTCTCCCTGGTGAGCGGGGCTCCGCAAACAGGGAATGTTAGGTTTGCAGGCCCGGAGGGTGGCCTGTCAAGGGGACTGGCTGTGCTCGTGAAGACACTGCCCCCTTGTGGCCGAGCTGGCTCACCACACCTTCTGGTTCTGGAGCATCCACTTGGGACAGGATGCTTTATTTTTTAAAATTTTTAAAAATTGTGGACGATGTTACCAATGTCCCCCATTCCCTCCACCCAACCCAGCCCCACGCCAGGCCGCCCCACACTCTGTCTGCATCCCCGGCGACGTTTCCATGCTCATCGGCGAATCTCTCGCTGGGACAGGATTCTTCCCGGGCAAACGGACAGAGTGCGGGGTCTCCGACACGCAGGGGGTGGGGCAGCGGAAATGACGGGGTTTGCTTTACAGCTGAGTTGTGTTGCTTTTTAAAATATATTTTTATGGACGTCAGAGAGGAAGGGAGAGAGAAACATCCATGATGAGAGTCATTGATCGGCCGCCACCTGCACGCCCCACACTGGGGATCGATCCCACAGCCCAGGCGTGTGCCCTGACCGGGATGCACCTCTCGAACCCTGACCACCTCGTTCAGAGGTCCACGCTCAACCACTGAGCCACGCCAGCCGGCTTTACAGCTTAGTTTTTAATAACTTTTCCCCAAAGCATCATGTTACTGGTGGGTGCCCCCATACGCATCAGGACTTTTACAGGCGGGACCCGTCCTCTGTCCGCCTCCCTCCGGGCCGGGCCCAGGGCGGGCACACGTCGGCCTGGGTCGGGCCTGGGTCTGTGATCTGCATTTGGAAACCAGTTCTGAGCAGTGAGACACAAAGACCGTGATGACGATGCTTCTGTCACCGTCTTCAGGGGCAAAGGGGAAACGCCCGAGGCGTCACATGAGGCTCACGCGATTCGCTTCAGATGGGGCCCCAGCAGGCGGCTTCCTATTCATCTCTGTTTGGAGAACCTTTGATCATTTTATTTTTTTATGACAATTGGGTTGACTGGCCAGGAGAAAAGTGCCCCGGGACAGTTTCCTGTCCGTCGGAAGCACATAAACGATGCCCGTGCTCTCCTTTCCTCTTTGTTGGATTTATGGGCGGCACTGGTGAACAGAAGTACACACAGCCCCCCGACACACCCCCTGCGCCCTGCGTGTGTGCTCAGCACCCCGATCGCCACCCCGAGCCCAGTCTCATCGGTCACTCTGGGTCAGTCGCACGGATGGAATGCGGCTTTGGAAACCCAGGCCAGAGGCCCACAGCGGGCAGCGACCGCCGCCCGGAGCGAGGCCCTCTGAGCCACGCAGGACTTCTCTCGTCCTCTGGGCCCTGCTCCCAAGGACGGCCGCTGCCACGCCTGGGCTCAAGGACAGACACCCCTCCCCGGGAAACAAGGGGGCTAAACCCACCGACCGGACACCGTGAAGAAACCAGATGTCCAGCTGGGAGGATGCTTAAAATAAACGTGTTATTAAAACACATTGTATCTGCAAACGTGAATGGAAACTGACATTTCAATTTCCTCAGACCGATGGTGACGTCGTGGGTCTAGAACAGTGGTTCTCAACCTGTGGGTCGCGACCCCTTTGGCGGCCGAACAACCCTTTCACAGGGGTCGCCTCAGACCATCCTGCATATCAGATATTTACATGACGACTCTTAACAGTAGCAACATGACAGTGATGAAGTAGCAACGACAATAATTGTGTGGTTGGGTCACAACATGAGGAACTGTATTTAAAGGGCCAGAAGGTTGAGAACCACTGCTCTAGAAAGTGCCAGCCGCGCACTGACTGCTGGGTGAGACCTGACCAAGCGCGTCTTTCCTTCCAGCTCCCGGGATCGCAGCTCCAGGTGAGTAACAGACCCCTTGGCCAGTCACGCGGCTTCCGAACCCTGGCTGCTGACGATGCGAAAAGACCCCAATCGGGTACCGGTGAAAGGTCACGAGAAGTGACCGTTGCGCCGGGACGGCCCCCGTGGGATCGGCGAGGGCAGGGTGTGCCGTGGCCAGCACGTCAAGGGCCGTTCAGCCTTCACGCTTAGTCATGAAGCTGCTTCCTCGGGGCTCGCACCCCCAGCAGGAAAAGGGATGGAGTCCCCTCCGGAGACCTGCAGGGTCCTATTAACCCAGGGGGCCCTTTTCCTGCCCAGGGCCAGCTGCGTGTTTATAACAGCATCCGGGGCCACACAAAACCGCCCACTTAAACACCAGCCTGCTCCATGCGGCCAGGCATTTAATTAACGCCCCTTCGTGCCCTGGCAGGGCCAGACCAGATGGCTTCGTGGGCCTTACACGGCCCGCGGGCTGGACGTCCCCCACCCCTGCTATTAACCAGTCACCCCGGTAGGTTTGATTTTTAAAATGGAAAGGGGCACCGAGTCCACGCGGAAGCTCTTCTAGTTTATCAATAAAACACGGTCACTCGTGGAAATGTGGGACGAGTGAAAAAAAATGGCCTTCCATCTATTAAAGAGGTCCTTTCAAGAAAAAGCTCCTTTCCCTGGCCACAGTTACAGATGGCCGCTGTAACATTCTACCCCGCGCCCGTCCGTGATTATAGCCAGAGCTCAACCTGGAGCGCTGTCTTCCTGCGAGAAGCTTCATGACCATCAGAAAATCTAAGTCAGACAGACACTGACACCTCACGTCCCATTTCATTTTAAGATGCGGCGAAAGAACTCCAGGCATGAAAGCAGACTGCGGAGCAGGAAGTCTGACACCGGCGGGCTCGGAAATGTGAAACCGAGAACAACAATAACGCAAATTTCTCACTGCGGCAGGAGAGTCTGTCTTTGCCATTTTTAAGACATGACAGTACGAATCAAACTTTCACCAGATCCATTTCAAAGGTCCATGTTTATAAGCTGCTGTGAATTCTTTTCTGTCCAGTGTTTAAAATGAAGAAGAACCTTTTTCTATGCCAACGCGGCCGTGGGGGGCTCGGGGAGTTTCTGAGGCTCTGAGGGTGTAGCTGCCGAGTGAGGAGCAGGTCGATCCAGGCGGGGACAGGCCAGTGTGTCTCCCAAAACGCCAGCTCGAGAGCGCGCCACTCCAGCCACCTAGCAGCCCTGCCGCGGCGGCTGCGGGGAACTAACATCCCAGTGGCCAGTGGAGCCGGGCGACCGAGCCAGAGCCGAATGCAGCTCCTACCGAGGCCCAGAGCGAATGGGAGCCCCACACCCCGGTCGATAAAGTGACTGCAATTTCACCCTCTGGAAGCCGAACAGAGCCCCGCAGCGCTGCCCGCTGAGCAAGGCGCAAGGCGCGCCCGCCGGTGCCCGTACTCACGTGGGAGGCCCTGCCCGGCGCCAGCTTCGCGGTGTCCTCGTCGCTGTCCGCCGACAGCCGGCCCTGCTCCACCTGCGGCAGAAGCACAGCACCGTCATCGCGGGGAAAGTGGGCGCAGAGCACAGGCCAGCCGGCCACTCCAGGCGCCGCATCTGCACCCACAGCGTCCCCGCGGCCTCCCCTCGGCCGAGCCTGAAAGCCGCTCTCAGGGGCTCGCTGCTCTGGACGCCACAGTTTTGAAGCCACAGCTTACAGGGGTGACTGCTCTTCCTGTTCCCCAGCAGCGTCTCTTTATTTTTTTTTAAATATATTCTTATTGATTTCAGAGAGGAAGGGAGAGGGAGAGAGAGAGAGAGACATCAATGATGAGAGAGAATCACGGATCGGCTGCCTCCTGCTCGCCCCCCACTGGGGATCGAGCCGCAACCCAGGCCTGTGCCCGACCGGGAATTGAACCCCGACCTCCCGGTTCCTGGGTCGACGCTCAACCACTGACCCACGTGGGCGGGCTCAGCATCTCTTCAGGTCAGAGAGCAGGTCGTGCTAGGCCGGGAGGGTGCTGAGCTGTGGAGTTGGCTCAGAACCCAGCAGTCAGCAGGCCTCAGGGTCTATGAGCTGTACATTCAGGTTAGCATCGAGCACTGGTCGGCTGGGCACGCGTCACCGACCGGATGCCTCCTTCCTCACGGATAACAGGTAACCGTGACGCCGCACATCACTGTCTGGGATAGGCTGCCAGGAGGTGCTGGCCACACGCCACAGAACCACGTGGCTCAGCTGGGAAATACAGCCCCGGGCCCACTCGCCCCCCCGTGAGAATCTCTGCGTCATGAGCCAGGAACCCATTGTCTCAGGTGCTTCCTCAGTACTTTTGAGAACTGCGGGGTTCGCGGATTAAGTGTCACAATGACCCCAAAGTGTCACGTTTTAAAAGCGTTAAAACACCGCAGTTTTAAAACAAGAAGGGGTATTTGCTGTCATATACTTCAGCCAAAATGGTACCTCTTTACGCATATGCTCTAGTGCCGTGGTCGGCAAACTGCGGCTTGCGAGCCACATGCGGCTCTTTGGCCCCTTGAGTGTGGCTCTTCCTAAGCCTTAGGAGGACCCTAATTAAGTTAATAACAATGTACCTACCTATAGAGTTTAAGTTTAAAAAATTTGGCTCTCAAAAGAAATTTCAGTCGTTGTCCTGTTGCTATTTTGCTCTGTGGACTGATGCGTTTGCCGACCACTGGCCTATGAGAGCTCACTCACTCAACACACGTGCACTTACATTCCCCCTGAAGGAGCCACAGAAAGGCTCGCTTTAGCTTGAATGCCTTGACGTCCGTGTTCTCTCTGAGACTGCTTGTGGACTATCAGGCATCGTAGGATTTTAGAAGTAATTTACAAAATGATTTACTCCAAACCTCCTCTTCTTTTTTTCTTTTAATATATTTTTATTGATTTCAGAGAGGAAGGGAGAGAGAGAATCATGGATCGGCTGCCTCCTGCACGCCCCACACTGGGATTGAGCCCACAACCCCCGCCTGTGCCCTTGACCAGAATCGAACCCAGGACCGTTCAGTCCGCAGGCTGACGCTCTGTCCCTGGAGCCAAGCCAGCGAGGGCCAAACCCTCTTCTTGTTAATGAAGAAACACTGAGGCCCGACAGGTCCAGGAACGGGCCGTGTGGGGGAGGCGAGCGTGGGGGCTCTGGACGGACATGTGGGCGCGGGGCTCTGCGTCCTCCCCGTGTTAGCTCCGGGCACAGCAGCCGGTCCCTGCGCCCGGAAGATGGGGCGGCCCCCTCTCCCCCAGGTCTCCGTAAGTTAAATGAGATTGACGGAGCAACGTATCTCAAACCACACAAATGGAGAGACGCAAGGGATGAAGAAGCCAGCCCCAAACGGCAGTAAATGACACAACAAGGATGCGACTGCAGGAAGGATGTGGAGGGAGAAAAAAAATAAAGTTAACGTGAGGGAGAGACCCACGTGAAAGAGGGGGCGTATGAGGAAGGAAAACACCCCTGGCTGGTGTGGCTCAGTGGATACAGCGTCAGGGCTGCGGACTGAAGAATCCCAGGTTCAATTCAGGTCAAGGGCATGTGCCCAGGTTTCGGGCTCAATCCCCAGCAGGGGGCGTGCAGGAGGCAGCGGATCGATGGTTCTCTCTCATCACTGATGTTTCTCTCTCTCTCTCTCTCTCTGAAATCAATAAAAATATACTTAAACAAAAGAAAGAAAACTGCTTCTGGCCAGTCCGAGAGAGAGGAGAGAAAGGATGGACGGGGAAGTCCCTGGCATAGGACAGCCTTTGTCGTCCGTGGCATCTGCACAACGGCTCACCCTTTCCGGCCGCGGTCAGAGCCAAGCCAGGCTCTCCGGCTTAAACAAAAGCATTTCTAGACGGTTCACTGCCTTTGTGGGCAGCTCCTGCCACTGGGCTCATTTGTGGGGATCCGGGCTGTTTCACCCGCGCTCAGCTGTGCCTGCCCCACCCACTCCCCACCCCCATCCGAGCAACCAGCCTGCGCCCCGGCCCTGGGCACCGGGCAGGCGGCAGCGGGCACGGGCTCGGCGCCACGGTCTGCAGGCGAATAAACCCCATCGCCCAGAACCGCTTCGGGGTTCGCGTGTGGAAGAGAAGCCGTCATTGGGGTGCACCCGGAGAAGCCCCCTTGGACCCGGGGAACTGCTATCCCAGCCTGTTTGGGAGCCGCCCAGGCAGCTCGAGCGCGAACACCTCGGAAACACGTTGGCAGGAGGCACAGTGCCAACGGCTCCCCTCACCTTGCCGTTGCTTCTTTTGTTCACTTTGAAGAACCCAAGGAACTTCTTCTTCTCCTTCTCCGTCTCATCGCTGCCAAAGGAGGACTTTCTGAAGGTTTCTGGGAGGGAGAGAAAGTCCTCAGTTACTTTTCAGCATCAACACGTCGCGTTAAAAATCTCAGCAAACACACCCTCTCCTCTTAAACTTGGTTTCGTTCTTCTAAGAGTAGAACCGCCCACGACCCGCGCCCCCAAGCCTGCACCCACCAGCCTGCACCCGGGTACGAAACGCCCCGGGCCTCGCGCTCGCCGGTGGGGACGGGGCGTTCCCTCTGGCCGCGCTCACATCCCCGATCCTCCTTGGCTCAGCGGCAAGCTTTCCTCTCTAGTGACATTCTCCAGGGGACCACGGCTTCCCTCTCTCTCTCTCTCTCTCCCTCCCTCTCTCTCTCTGAGCTTGAAATCCTCAATCTTTTTCCTTCTTCATCAGGATTTTTTTAAAAATAACTATTTTAGCCCAACAGGCATGGCTCAGTGTCAACCTATGAACCAGGGGGTCCTGGGTTCGATTCCAGGTCAGGGCACAGGCCCAGGTTGCAGGCTCGATCCCCGGGGGGGCGGGGGGCAGTGTAGGAGGCAGCCAATCAGTGATTCTCTCTCATCATTGATGTTTCTCTCTCTCTCTCCCCCTCTCCCTTCCTCTCTGAAATCAGTAAAAATATATATTACAAAGTAAAATAATAAAATAACTATTTTATTATTTGGGGGGTGTTCATTATTAATTTCGTTTATTTTTCCATCGCGGCTGATATTCAGTCTTAGTCCTCATTCGTTCCAGGCGTGAGGCACAGACGTTAGACAACCAGGTCTGCACAGCGTGGTCCCCGATATCCCCGCACCCACTGCTCCCCTCCCCACCCCCACTCCCACCCCCGCCCCGGCCGCCTGCACAGCTAGCACAGTCTCGTCGACTCGGTCCTGGGCTGGCAGTCACTGGGACCCAGGGTGGGCTGGAACGGGCGCTCTCCTGGGCCACGGACCCTGCAGCCCTGACGTGTCAGCAGGTGACAGCCTCGCCCAGGGCTGTGGTTCTCACAATGGGGGGGGGGGGGCATGTCAGCACCCCTGGGACTTGGACCCAGTCCTGACCCCTGAATCAGAAGCTCTGAGGGTGGGCCCAGCGCCCTGCACTCAACACGCCCCAGCCTCGGGGATGCTCGAGGTGTGAGGGAGCATTTGAGGGCCAGTGGGGTGGAGGTTACCAGCACCGAGCCTCAGTCTGCTCATCTGCAGAATGGGGTGAACGGGGTGCTGCCCGCCCACCGGTGCCGCACGGCTGCTGACACCATCGCTCACTGGTTTCCCCTCACCCCCCAGGCCACTCAGGCCTCGGCCATCAGCGCGTCCCATCTTTCTCTCCGAGGCCCGTGGATACAGCAGGAGGAAAACCCTGGTGTCCCTGAAGGACACGACTTCCCCACGGCACTGCCCACGCCCCACGCCCACGCCCGACGCCAGACCCTGGTGGGACCTCTGGCTGTTCAGCCTGCCGTCCGACAGTAGCAGCTTCTCTTGCTCACGGACTGTGACGCTCCTGTCAGACCAGACCCGAGGCGGAGCGGCAGCAACAGGCACCGTCCCCCCAACAGCGCAAACCCAGGCCTGGCCGGTGGCTCAGTGGTCGGAGCCTTGTCCCGAAACACCCAGGTCATGGGTTCGATTCCCAGTCAGGGCACATGCATGAATCAACCAACGAATGCATCAATAAGTGAACAATAAAACTGATGTTTCTCTCTCAAAATTGATTTAAAAAAACAAAGAAACACAAGCGCACACATTTGTAAAGTCATTCCGCACGTGGCGGAGGCTCAGGGTTGTCACAAGCGCCAGGGCTCTCGGCAGGTGCCGGCGGCTTGTCATGCACGTCCACTCAGCAGCCACGTGTGCACGTGGAGTTCACGGCTAAACACACGAAAGCCCTCCTCAGGCACGGGGCTGTCCAGTACAACACCCTGTTCTGCGAGGACACTGGCAGCCGCGGGGAGCGTCCGTGTGTGTGCCTGCCTGCGTGTAGACAGGCCGTGTGTGACGGGAGAAGGCAGGTGCGGGTGCGGCGGTGCCCAGCAGGTGGGCGTGGAGGGCATGTTCCTGGCACCCCGGCTCGAGGGCCACCCACCAACCCAGAGGCCTCAGGACACTGCGCGGGATCGGGCCTCGGTCCTCTGCCTGGACAGGGACGGGGCGGCCGGCACCCACAGGGCTGATTGTGGCCAGACGTGACCCCCCCACTGGTGCCAGCCCACGCCCAGTGTTCTCACTTTCACTTGATTTTCTAGAAATAAGACCTAGTGTTAAACACTCTAACAACATGAACAGAAATTCTCGTAAACGATAAAAACTCACCGGGATGTTAACGAGCTGTGTGCGCGCAATCCAGAAGGTTCATTAACATCCCACTACGTACGCATGTGTGTGTGTCTATGTTACGTGTGCACGCGTACGTAAATATATATGTATGTGTGCACATATATACAATCGGTGAGAAATCAGTGTCAGAATAAGTGCAAAATCTGAACTCCTCGTTTTTATATTTATGGCGGCAAAGGTTAAACATCACAAACCATGATGCCCTGAATTCTGCAGCAGGCAGGATGGAGCTCAAGGACAGTGAGCACATGTGAGTACAGGTGCGCACATGTGAGTACAGGTAAGCACAGGTAAGTACAAGCAAGAACAGGTCCACACAGGCAAGCACAGGAATGCACAGCTATAGGCAAGCACAGCGAGTACACGGAGGCACACGTACAGGCAAGTACAGGCGAGCACAGGTAAGTACTGGCGAGCACAGGTAAGTACAGGTGAGCACAGGTAAGTACAGGCGAGCACAGGTAAGTACTGGCGAGCACAGGTAAGTACAGGTGAGCACAGGTAAGCACAGGCGAGCACAGGTAAGTACAGGTAAGTATAGGTGAGTATAGGCAAGCACAGGTGAGTACAGGTAAGTACAGGCGAGCACAGGTGAATACAGGTAAGTACAGGCGAGCACAGGTGAGTACAGGCGAGCACAGGTGAGTACAGGTGAGAAGGAAATGGCGCCTCACGCAGGGACTGCTGTCCGCCCTGGAGCCTCCTGGAGCCCATTTCCTCACAGCAGCCCTTGGCTTCTCAGTCAGAACCACAGCAAATCCTGCCACAGGACATTCCGTTCTCAGCCAACCAGGAGCCGAGAACCAGCACAGCCTCCCTGGGCCGGCAAGCCCTGCCACCCCCACCCCCCCCCCCGCCCCCCCAGCCACACGGCCCGAGGCCCTCACTCCGTGCACGTCCCCAGCCATGCAGGTGCAGCCCGCGGGGCTCACTGACCTCGGCAGCGCAGGGAGGGCTCCGACTGCGTTTTGGTCAGAAGAACTGGAAAGGCAGCGAGGAGAGAGTGAGGGCGAGCCGGGCCGAGGCCGCCGGCAGCAGCCCCTGACCAGGGCTGGGCACTCGTCAGCCTCGGGGGGCTGTCAGTCCGTCAGCCTCGGGGGGCTGTCTGTCCGTCATTCTCGGGGGGCTGTCTGTCCATCATTCTCGGGGGGCTGTCAGTCCGTCATTCTCAGGGGGCTGTCAGTCCATCAGCCTCGGGGGGCTGTCTGTCCGTCATTCTCGGGGGGCTGTCTGTCGGTCAGTACAGGCCCAGTGCAGAGTGGGCTGCACCCTGGCCTTGAGCCCCCGGAGCACAGAGCAGGTGGCCAGGCCAGCACCCCGGGAGGATGGCCCTCCCAGGAGGCAGCCCAGCCTTGGCCGCCCCAGCTCAGCTGGGGCTGGGAGGGGAGGGAGCCAGAAAGGGGCCAGGAGAGGTATGTGGATGGCCTCCGGAATGTTCTGCGTGAGGCCTTCTCTTCCCCGCGCTCCAGCGCAGGACAGCGTGTTTCCTGTCCCCAGCCTCATGGGAACCAAGTTAGAGTGGGTGCGACCTCCACACAGACACCGCGCTCCGCCCGGGCCCGGGGCAGGTGCCAAGGGGGGTCTGGTGGGAGTTTAAGATGATGCTGGCCCGGCCCCAGGACCCGCGGCTCTTGGCCGTCGGAGCACGTTACAGAGGAAAAGCAGTCTCTGTATCTTGTACTCAGAGGGCTGAACCCCTTCCCGGGCGCCCAGTGAGATCCGGGTTCCAGAGCCACCGCGGGGTGGGGCAAGGGGGAGGGGGAGGCTGGTGCCACTAGGAGCACCAATGTCACCAACATAATTATTGTGATTTTTTATTGCAAGAACTTTTTTAAAAAGTTGTAGGTAAACAGGAAAACCTTGCATACGTCCATATTTTAAAAGCCCAGCATGCTCAATATTTGTGGAATAAAAAGGCAGCAAATATCAAGGGAGGATCTAAGAAGTCCATTTTAAGAATTCTAAGGTCAAAGAATATTAAATTGGGGGAGGGGATGTTCTGTTTGAACAGTCAGTCTTTGTGTCCTTCAGGGACAACGGCTCACACCACAGGTCAGTCTTTGTCCCCACCACCTGCCCCTCTGCCTCCACGCTCCCGTGGCTCACACGGGGACCTCAGGCCACGCGGCCAGCTCCCACGAGGACTGAGCTGTCCCGCATTGGCGACGTCCAAGCGCCGTGAGTGGTCGCGGGGGCTGGGGTGACTGGGCAATGCCAGGGGGCAGCGCCGTGCGTGTGCCCGTGGCTTTGTGAGCGATGCCTGAGACTGGGAGCCGCTACAGGCCACGGAGAAGCCCGTCCACGCGAAGACGGGTTATGTGTGGGCTCCGGGTGGTTCCCTTAGAGGGGAGGCTCTGACGTCCTCGTCGTCCCCCCCTCTCATCTCCCGGAAGCTCACAGAGGAGGGGTAACCGGGGGGCTCGGGGCGGGGTGAGAGGCAGCAGGACCGCCAGGGAGCGAGAACAAGTTGGGTCTGTTTCCTGCCCTGCCCCCTCTGGGTTGGACCGCATCCCAGTTGCCTGAAAATGCGCGCACCCGTCCAGCCGGTGCTGCGGGGCGTCGAGCTGAGCGTTGAAGTGGGGGCCTTGCTCCAGTGTGTTCCCGCGTGTCCCCATGTGCTCCGTGTCCCCATGTGCTCCCACATGCTCCCATGTTTCACATGTTACCACGTGCTCCCGCGTTTTCCCGTGTGCCCACAGGCTCCCACATGTTACCACGTGCTCCCGCGTTTTCCCGTGTGCCCACAGGCTCCCCCATGTTACCACATGCTCCCGCGTTTTCCCATGTGCTCCCACGTGTCCCCCGGGGCCTCACCTCTCTGGTTGTCCCAGGCGTAGAGCTCCTTGATGCCCAGCTCGCTGAGCGACTTGGACAGCTCCAGCTCCTCGCCCGCCACGTTGTCCCTGAGCAGCACCACGTGCTCGGGGCTCACGTCGCACTTGGCGCAGATGACGGGCAGGAGGCTGTGCAGGGGCACCTCGGGGCTCACGCGCACCACGGCCTTCTGTGTCCGCAGGTAGTTCACCACCAGGCGCACGGACTTCTGGGAGGACACACGGGGCGGGGAGCTCGGTGAGCACGTCGGCCCACGGTGGTGCCGGCCGTGGCGTCCACGCCAGATGCGGGTGTGGGAGACGGTGAGCGGCAGTTTCTCCCGCAAGTCAGGGGCTCCCGGGGAGACGGCCCGCAGGACGGGGAGCAGCAATGCCCGGAGAGCACCCCCCCCCCCCGCAGACGCCCCCACCTGCTGAGCACACGGCTAACGACACGGGAGTGGGCATCGGGCAGGGCTCTCCATGGACACCCCAGCACACGCAGGGCCGTCCCCGGGTGCGACCAGACTGAACATGAGGCTTTAGTACACCTCCCACGGGAAACAGCGGGAAGTGCTGTCAAAAAGTCAATGGAACGGAAAACCCTCACCACACAAGGTACCAAACTTCTGTTTAAGAACCAAAATATCGCCCGGCCGGTGGCTCAGTGGTTGACCGTCGGCCTAGGAACCAGGAGGTCACGGTTCGATTCCCGGTCAAGGGCACATGCGGGGTGGCAGGCTCAATCCCCAGTGGGAGGCGTGCAGGAGGCAGCCGATCCATGGTTCTCTCTCATCATTGATGTTTCTCTCTCTCCCTCTCCCTTCCTCTCTGAAATCAATAAAAACATATTTTTAAAAATTCTCTCTGGCCTTTCCTGGTCACGCTCATGGCGCCCAGACCCTGGTGAGTGGACACAGCAGACGTGGACTTTGTGGAGGCGCCGAGGCCGACCTCAGACTGGGCCGGGGTTCCATGAATTTTTGGAAAAAAGCTGGACGCAGGGCCTCTCCACGTGTCTGGCCTGGGGTCGTGCACAGCCCTGGGCCCAGCTGCCCAGGGGTTTACACCTGGCGGCCGGGAAGGTCTGAGCCGCCCGGTGTGACAGGGCTCTCTCCTGGAACATGGACTGGACGTAGGAATTAGGGAAAACGCACCCCGAGGGTCGATGGCATCGTTAACTTTTATCAACCACCCAGACCTAGAAATTCTCAGGAGACGGATGGCTAAACTGCCATTTTTAAAAGCAGGGAATTTTGTACATATTCCAGGAACCTAAACGGATGAAATAGCGCTACTTATGAAGGGAGCTCGAGAACCACAGCAGAGCCGCATTCAGGAGGATAATAAACCGCTGGTGTTCATTTCAATCGATAACCCAAAGTCCGGAAGATGTCCCGTCTAATTAGCATGTTATGCTTTTATTATTATAGATGTTCTCCAATTGCAGTGAGTAAATATTTATAACATCAAAAGTTTTTCAAAATAAAAACTCTTTCCTCCCCTCCCCGCGACCCCTGACCTCCATCTCTAAGAAGTTCACGTCTGGGTCCCGCCGGCCTCTGGGGCAAGGAGGCCTCTAGGCCTGAACCCAGTAGGGTGGCCACGGTGCTTAAGTTTCAATGAATTAAAAGTCAGGTCTGGGGTCCCACTGGCTGCACTGCACATGCTCAGTAGCTGCATCAGTGGCTGCCACCCTGCCAGGCCCAGACTCATGGACCCTCCCATCTCTGCTGGACGTCAGATGGACATGTCTGCTTAGACCAGGCCTCTCCTAACACGGCCCACAGCAAACAGGACTCAGTTCCGGGGACTTTAGTCTTCTCAAATAACCCCGTTTAGTGCCTACCTTTGCCTGGCATGGAAGGAGACCCTCCCCACAGCGCCTGCCTGTGTCACCAAGACCCCAGAGCCCCCTGCTCCCCCAACCACCCATAGCTCCCTCCCCACAGGTGTCTGTGTGTGTCACCAAGACCCCAGGGCCCCCTGCTCCCCCAACCACCCATAGCTCCCTCCCCACAGGTGTCTGCCTGTGTCACCAAGACCCCAGGGCCCCCCCACTACCACCCACAGCTCCCTCCCACAGGTGTCTGCGTGTGCCCTGGGATGACCAGGCCCCCAGCCCACTGACCTCGGGCACCTTGGGGGGGCCAGGCTTGGCCTTCTCGTCGGGAACCTTCTCTTTCAGGAACACGGTGTGCACGTTCAGGGTCCCGACCAGCGTGTTTGGCTTGAAGCTCAGAGGCTGCTGGGCTTCCGGAGGCCAGACCTCCAGGGCGTGGTGGGACGGGTTCAGGTGGTTCTGCAGGCAGAGCTCCACCAGGAGGTCCATCATCGCGTGGCTGGAAGGGGAGACGGAGCGGTCATTAGGGTCTGCGTCTCCCTCAGTCCGGGACAGAACGAGCGAACCAGCGGGCGGGCAGGCGAGCAAACGCACGAGGACAGACAGCGGCCGAGCGTTAATTCTCAGGCGTGACTGTACCCCTCACCGGGGTCAGGCCGGCAAACATGGCACTGACAGGAGGCCCGCGCCTCAGCCCACCGGTGGGGCTGCCACTTTTTTTTAAAATATATTTTTATTGATTTCAGAGAAGAAGGGAGGGAGAGAGAGAAACATCCATGGGACAGCTACTGTGGTTTATTTAAACGAGAATATTCATGTCGGGAGGACAGGGTTAAGGGTCTGACGGCAGATTATAACTCCTCGCTTATCCGACGAGAAGGTCTCTCAGGGGTTGAGCATTGACCTATGAACCAGGAGGTCACAGTTCAATTCCCGGTCAGGGCACAGGCCCGGGTTGCAGGCTTGATCCCCAGTGGGGGGCGTGCAGGAGGCAGCCGGTCCAGGATTCTCTCTCATCATTGGTGTTCCTGTCTCCCTCTTTCCCGCTCCCTTCTTCTCTGAAATCAATAAAAAAATGTATACATAAGAATCGTGAGTAAAACATGATATACTCGCTGGTAAAACTCACGCACCTATAGAAGTAGTTTAAACTGTCGTATTATTGATGCTCTGGAGTCACAGTGACGCACGCGGGAAAAACGTTCTTACAAGGGCCGCCCTGTGAAACGACGAAGCGCAGGCCCTCTTGCGAGTGGGCCATCGTGCACGGACCCTGGGAGCCATCCCTGCCGCAGGGGCCACGGACACCCCCCGACACCCCCTCGAGGTCCAGGGCAGCCCCCACTCTGCACCCGAGCCCTTCCCCGGGACAATGGCACCAGGGGGTGCCCTGAGGAGCAGGCCCCGATACTTCCCTGGGACACTATTTGGGAGCAGCTGGGCCTCAACCCCCACCCCCCAACGCAACAGCTCCCATCCTGGGCAGACCCTGGGCCTGCAGCAATTCTCCCCAAGGTTTTGTTCACCTGCCCCATAAAATAATTTTGAAAATGTATGTAGCCCTTTGCCCATGAAAGTGTCACCTACAATTTTCATTATAAAGCTCAAACTGTAATATGAAAGTCATGACAAAGTCCCGTAGGATCTGAAAACTGACTTTTAAAAATAAACCCGCCCTGGCCGGTTTTGCTCAGTGGATAGAGCGTCGGCCTGCGGACTGAAGGGTCCCAGGTTCGATTTGGGTCAAGGGCATGTACCTTGGTTGCGGGCACATCCCCAGTAGGGAGTGTGCAGGAGGCGGCTGATCGATGTTTCTCTCTCATCGATGTTTCTAAGTCTCTATCCCTCTCCCTTCCTCTCTGTAAAAAAACCAATAAAATATATATATTTTTTAAAAAAATAAAAATAAAGATAAACCTGGCGCATCACCATTTCCAGGGTATTCATGGGAATAAAAACACTCGGGGTCACGTGACCGTGACCGTTGCCCACTTGTAAGTACCCGAACAAACTGCTTCTTAAAGTTTAAATACTTTACATCCGTCCTCGTTCTCCTTGTTTTCCTGGACTCTCCCGCCGCAGGAGGATGCAAATATAGTTTCACGTTTGAAAGACTTCAGCACTGATCACTCTATCGCACTCGCTACAATAAAAACTGTCTAAACACTCTAATTCAAAGTTTTGTTTCCCTGTGACTTGGTTAAAATGTTTTATTATAAAGTGGTTAGTAATGACAGAAGCAGTAACACAGAACCGATCAAACAATATAATTATGACATATTTTGATAAATATTAAGTCTCAAATTAGAAACTCTATTGGTGATAAAACTTCATGTTTTGATGGAAGGAGGCTGTGCCTTTTGTGGGGAAAGAGGTGCAGGTGATGAGGTGCAAGTGACCTTGACCACGTGACCCAGGGGACCAGAGCTCAGGGCGGGGTGGGAGCCACAGGCCTGGGGATCGAGTCCCTTACATTTAACACCCGTGGGTCCCATTTTCTTTCTTTTTAATTATTGTTTTTTTAATGTCTGTTCATTGATTTCAGAGAAGAAGGGAGAGGGAGATAGAAACTTCAACGATGAGAATCATTGATCGGCTGCCTCGTGCACGCCCTCCACTGGGGATCGAGCCCGCAACCCAGGCCTGTGCCCTGACCGGGAATCGAACCCAGGCCTCCTGGTTCATAGGCCGATGCTGAACCACTGAGCCCCACCGGCCGGGCTACTTCTTCCTCTAAACCGGGGTTCAGCGAATAGATTGCGGGCGGCATGTACCTCCATGGCCAGCCTGGGAGGACCTGGGAGGGTCAGTCCAGGAGGCTGCCCCCGGCCGTGGAACTTCAGCACCCAGGACACGGGTACAGACTAGTGGCTGGTCACCTGCTTGGAGGGGGCCCCGGCCTGCACCCCTGGTCTGAGCCCACCTCCTGCCGACCTGGGCAGCGCGTCCCTCCGCTCAGGAAGGCGGGGACCCGGGGCCCATCCACCGTCCTCCTGGGCGAGGCCCTGCAGTTGGCGGCCGGTCGCGCCCGGCCCTTACCTCCCGCTGACCACGCTCCTCCGCTCCAGCCCGCTGGGCAGCACCACCGTGAGGTCCAGCGCCCGCTCCCGCAGGTTCTCCTTCATGTGCAGCAGGTTCTGCTGGCGCCCGGGGGACGCGCTGCGCTGGGGGCTCGGCGCCCTCTGCCCGGTCGGGGTGGCGGCCTTCCCCGGGGGAGGCGGGGCGCGAGCCTTCATCTTCCTCCTGAGGGGCGACAGGGGACCAATGAAGCACCGCGTCCAGCTCGGGCAGCAAGGACATGGCGGCCGGCAGCGCTGTCCTCCTCCTCACTCCCAGCAGCCCCTCCCTCGGCAGTGCCTCCGAGCAGCACGCCTGGGACATCAGTCAGCGGCACGTTCACAAGGATCTATTGTTACTGATTTCAGAGGGGGGAGGAGGGGGAGGGGGGGGAGAGGGAGAGAGAGACATCAATGATGACCGAATAATTGATTGGCTGCCTCCTGCACGCCCCCCACTGGGGATGGAGCCCACAACCCAGGCCTGTGCCCTGACCAGGCATCGAACCGTCATCTCCTGGCTCATAGGTCGACGCTCAACCCCTGAGCGGCCCGCCCGGGCTGTGCGCAGTTTTACAAAGTCCTCATGACAACAGCGGCCGGGCACAACACTGAGAAACAACAGGATGGCCATCTAGTTGATAAACACCAAACACACACTTCCAGGTTCTCCTGGTAACACAACCTGAACCCAGCTGCCAGCGATGCCCTTCCTGGGAAAAGAAGTGGCTCCAACCTTGACCCGACAACGCTCTCAGAACACGGACAACTACGAAGAGCAGAGGGCCCGGCCTGCGGGGCTCGGTGGGTGAGCGTCCACCTATGAAAGAGGCGGCCACGGCTAGATCCCCGAGTGGGTTTGATCCCCAGTGTGGGGCGTGCAGGAGGCAGCCGATCCATGATTCTCTCTCATCATGGATGTTTCTCTCTCCCTCCCCCTCCCCCCTCCCCCTCCCACTCTTTCTCCTTCCCCTGCCCCTCCCCCTCCCTCTCCCCCTCTGAAATCAATAAAAACATATTTAAAAAAGAAAACAGAGGAAATGTTTCTGGAAGAAAGAGCCCCCATGTGCTCCCCACAGGGGCCGTTTCTGGGGTCGAGATAGGAGCGAGCAGCACCTCTGGGTCACCATGGACGTCGTCACCCCCACCCCCAGCAGGCGGTGCCCAGGCTCCAGGGTGAATGCAGCCCCGGCTCTGGTCCCTGGTCTCTGGTCCGTCACATGGAGGACGTGTGGGGGCGACATCAGGACAAACTCAATCAGCCAGAAGGCCCGTCCCGCCCACCCCCGGGGCCCGGCCACTGCGAGGCAGGAGGCTGTCAGCAAGAGATGCCCTCGTGTCCCCGCACGACCTTCCTGCTTTTCCACCTTCTTTCCAGCCACACTCTCCCTTCTCAGCCCCCCCCCCCGCCCCCGCCACCCGCAGGGGGTTCTAACATCCCAACGTGTCACCCACTCCGACAACAGGTCAGAACACTTCCCGCCTCCTCCGGGCGTTCAGTGAGGCGCCTCCTGCCTTTGTCTGGGCGCTTTATTCTCTGCAGAAGTGTGCTCAGGGGGGTGTGTTACACGCACACGTATCTACATGCACTCATTACACACGAGAGCCTGTTTTACTCAGGCCCATGGTGTCTGATAGTAACAACGAGCACTTCCTAAACTTCAGGACCTGGGCTCTGCGTGACCTGGGACGGCACCTCACTCAGCCCTCAAAACACTGCAGCCGAGAAAACAGCGTCCCAGAGGGTCGCAGCTCTGAGAAGCTCACGGGGCAGGTGTCAGAGCAGACGCAAGGGGAGTGCCCGACGCCCCCTTCCCTCTCCCAGCTCCCCCTTCTCTCCCGTCCCCACTCCCCTCTCTCTCTGCCCCCTTCCCGCTCCCTCTCCCCCGCCCTCTCCCCACTGCCACCAGCTCTGGTTAGAGGACCCACAAGGAGGGAGCTAGCCCTCAACAGGTTAGATTCTCCCCAGAGCAGCCCTGCCTGGGGCACTCACGCCTCAGGTGTCAGAGGTAGGCATCCATTTCCAGAAATCTATCCTCAGGAAATCACCCCACAAGCAAGCTCAGTGAGAGGTTCAGAGATGCCCTGAGATAGCCTGGCCGCAGGTCAGGAAGAGACAGTGTCAATAGCGATTGTGCCTGCAAACACTGTGAAACCAGTGAGGTACGCTGTACAAGAATGTAGTATGAAATGACAAAATGCTCAATACAGGTTTGTTAGAAAACAAGCTCCAAATATATATGTGCCCAGAGAGGGAGCGGGCACAGCTGTGCGAGGTTTCAGAGGCCGAGCTCTCGGGCCGTGACTCAGCGGTGGGAGGAGGAAGGGGTGTCCCACATTCCACACATGGAAAGGTCCAGACGGAGAAGAGCCCGGCACCTGGCTCAGGGGTTGAGCGCTGACCTTGAACCAGGAGGTCAGGGTTTGACGCCCGGGTTGTGGCCCGATCCCCAGTGTGGGGCGTGCAGGAGGCAGCCGATCCATGATCCTCTCATCACTGATGCTCTATCTCCCTCTCCCTCCCCTTCCTCTCTGAGATCAATGAAAAGGTGTGTATTTAAAAACACGCAGCACCCTGCATGGCACCTACGGCCCTGAGCTTTCTGCCGCGAGCACCCACCTGCCCCGCTTGGCACCCGGAAGAGCAAGGTCCCCCTGTGCAGGCCTCACACATGCCGCTCCCTCCTCTCTCGCCTCCTCCCCGTCTGTCCTCCACATGTGCCCCTGGAAAGCCTTCCCCCCAGAACCAGGCGCGCCCACCACGGCCTGTGCCCCGGAAAGCCTTCCCTGGGAACCAGGCCCGCCCAGCGCGGGGTCTCACTGGGCCCCTTCACAGGGCCTCTCCCTCTGTGCTTTCCTGGGCTGGGATTTGGCGCCGCCCACTTTTGGGAGCCACTGAGACAGGAAATGTGTGGACACAGGCCCCCCTGCGTTCAGACCTCGTGGATGGGGAGACAGGACCGGCTTCCAGAGAGGCCCCCGAGCCCCCCACACCCGGCATCCTGTCCTGGCTCCTGGCTCCACGTCCAACAACTGGCTTTTCAGCTCCGAGTGCCGCGCCTCTGAGCCAGCACCTCGGGCACAGCGTGCCTTCCAGGCTCACGACAACATCACGTGACAGGTCTGCCCCCCCTTTACAGGGGGGATGGCCGAGGAACCCTGCGGCCAGAGGAGCAGAGACGGGGGACCCCACAGATGGAGGAGTAGAGACGGGGGACCCCACAGATGGAGGAGTAGAGACGGGGGACCCCCGTAGATGGAGGAGCAGAGACTGGGGGCCCCGCAGATGGAGGAGCAGAGACGGGGATCCCGTGGCCGGAGGAGAATGGCAGCCGGGGTCTCCACGCCGCTGCCCTGGCCATGAGCACCCCTGCCCGTCTCCTTCCTCATTTCCTGGAAACAGGACCTTGGGGTGGAGCTGGGGGGAAGGGGAAAGTCAGGCAGTGCCCCTGCCCCCAGGGAAGGGGACGGTCTGGCTCTCAGTGGAGGACACAGCCCCCGCTGTGATGGGTGATGTGGGTCTCGGTCAGAGCCCTGAGAACGGTCAGAGCCCCGAGAACGGTCAGAGCCCCTCCAGCGTCCTCAGAGCTCACAGGTCAGAGAGCAGAGAAGAGGCGGAGCCAGGGGGCTGGGAGGGACGTGCCCAGGGCTGAGCTCAGGGCCAGTGCTCAGGGTTCCCCATGCCTCAGGGCCAGGGGCTCCCGGAGGACCTGGTGCGGCTGTGGGTACCCCCCAGGCACGATGAACCTTAGCAGACCTCTGCGGGGCGGGCTCAGGGCCCGGGAGAGCCTGTGACAGCTTCCCCCGGGGTCGGGCACCTCCAACATCGGGCCTGGTCTCCCCAGGACAAGACGCCTTCTCATCAGTGAGAAACAGCGGCGGTCCCGACGCTCTCCCACCACCTGTGCTTGGAAAACAAAGCTGGGGCCACGGAAACCATTCAACCTGAGACCCAGACACACAGGGCTATGAGACTGCCACACGGAGGCCATGCTCACGCTTGGAGAACACCCCGCACTCTTCCAGCGAACCAGGAAATGGGCTTCCCTTAAAAACACCGTGTTCCCCGCAGCCTAGGGCCGTGGTCGGCAAACCGCGGCTCGTGAGCCACATGCGGCTCTTTGGCCCCTTGCGTGTGGCTCTTCCACAAAATACCACGTGCGGGCGCGCACGTACAGTGCGATTGAAACTTCGTGGCCCATGTGCAGACGTCAGTATTTTGTGGAAGAGCCACATTCAAGGGGCCAAAGAGCCGCATGTGGCTCGTGAGCCACAGTTTGCCGACCACTGGCCTAGGGCACCATCTCCCTGCAGAGGTCCCAGCGCCAGCGCCCGCCAGCCAGCCCTGCGCGCCCATCAGGAAGGTCTGCTCAGAGCCAGGAGCCCCGCCAGGCGGAGCGGCCCAGCAGGTGGCGGGGGAGCCCGTTTCCTCCCGAGAGGACAGGGAGCCGGGCGGGCGGGGCTCAGGGTCGAGCATCGACCTATGAACCCGGAGGCCACGGTTCGATTCCTGGTCAGGACACATGCGCGGGCTGCCCAGTGTGGGGCCTGCGGGAGGCAGCTGATCCATGATTCTCTCTCATCATTGTTTCCTTCTGTCTCTCCCTCTCCCTTCCTCTCTGAAATCAATAACAAAGTAAAAATAAATTTTAAAAAAGAGCTGAGCAGGGCGTGGTGTCAGGTCCAGCCGGCGGGGTGATGGCGGATTAGAGCCGCGTGGGGAGCGGGGGGGGGGGGGGGGGGGGGGGGCGGCTCAGAGGCTGCACTGCCGGGCGCCCGCTGAGTTGCTGTCGCTGTGCGAGCAGCGTCGCCCTTGGGACTAACAAGGAAAGAACAGCCACCTCCGTCTCCCGAGGTCCGAGGAGCCGCCAGCCCCCGGGACGCCCGGAACAGCCTCCGTCTGCAGCGGATGCATTCGCACCCGGACTCACGGCGGCAGATCCCGCGGTGCTGAGCGGCCGGGGACGCCGTTAGCACCGACAGGAAGGGCTTCGCCTCCTGGACAGGACTCTCAGACGCAACCCCAGCAGCTCCCGCACCCACCAGCTCGCCCAGCGCCAGGCTCGCGGGGCCCGGGGGCACGGTCTCCCGCCCATCGGGCCCCTGTGCCTGGAGGAGAAGGAGCGGCTCCCAGAGACCAGCAGGTGTGACTGCTTCGCCTGCCCCCTCCTGCACCCCCCTCTCTTC